CCATTATCACTTTTTTTCATGCGAAGGTTTAAAACAACAGAGTGCTATATATGTAAATATTAAATTTAGGCGTGAGATATGTAAATACATAAGTTATTTCTATGAGAGTTCATTGGATTTGAACGTCCAAAGCTAACGATCCAATCATATCAGTAGAAGAGACGAACAGCAATATATCTGCCAGAACTATATTATGCCCATCTTTTTGCTCCTCTGCAATTGATGCTAGTTTAGAGATGTATTTGCATCTTAGATCACGTTTTTCCTTGAGCTTTCTTTACAAAAGTCTGCAACCTAATCACTAGTGTCCAGGCTTTTTTGCATTTTTTTTTGGACATCGATTCTGATATTTGGCATTCTTCCTTTTTTTCTCAAAGCTTTTGACTATCCTCATAAATAAGCACTCGATTGTGTTATCATTTTGCTCCTTTTTTTCTCAACTAATTTAACAGGAGAAGAGCTCATCTCTATCCTAGATATTGTCATTTCCACCCAAAAAAGTGGTAACAAGATGCCCATAGGTGGATGGTAGAGAGCAAGATCAAATGTTTATCTCTCTCTTTAATTTTGACATCCAAATTTGCTAGATCCTACAATCTCTTATGACAAGTATCCAAATGATTTTGCAGTGATATACCGTCTTTCATGTAAAATGCAAATAATTATTGTTTTCAAGAGATTGTAAGCTTTCCTCAATCTTATGTGTGGTATTCATGGCATGTTGAAAAACTTAATACAAATAAAGGATGATCAAACCAAACGTTTTATCATCCATATCATTCATCTCATTTGTGCTAGTTAGGGAAGTACACCCCCTTCGATGCTTCAATCGAGCCCTCTACGGCTAAATTGGATAAATATTTTCTCATCTTTATCTTACAGATGTTGAAATCAGTGTGCCCTTGAGTTCCTTAAACTCATATTTGATAGTGTTTGTAGAAGATTTTTATTGTGCCATTTCCTAGATTATACCTGGCAATGCTTTGTCACTAGTTTGTTTCAAAAGGAAGAACGTGCATATATGATATGAAAATAACAGGCACATGAAAAAGAACAATAGGATTTATAAACTACATCCATGATATTAGGAGTCAAATAATTTTACATCAAAGAGTATGGAGTGCAAATTGAGTAGAAATGTAAAATATATTCAATTTTCTTATCACAAAACTAATGAGGAAGTATAGAGAAGATCTCACCAAATCTGAAACCAAATTTCACACACCAAATATTGAAGAATGAAAACAAAGAAACCATCTTCCTTGAAAAATCCTCGAAGTGAGAAAATGAAGAGAAGTCTTGAATCTCTATCACAAATGCTTGTATGGTTCTCTATCAATCGTAGTTGAAAAACCCAGATGCTACATCGTTGAAATTGCCAAAAATTCCGCTGCTTTATATATTCGGCGCAATTACAGAGTTAAACAATGGCTTATGATGTGTAGTTAGTGTTTTGTCCTTAGGCTATTTGATATAACTGAGCCAACATTTTAAAAGCAACATCATTGTCATCATCATCATCATCATCATTTTTTGTCCCACAACTATTGGGATTAATTTATGATCCTCCTACATCTTTTTTCCTTTTGCATGCTGCATGATTTGTCAACCCTTGTGCAATTATTTTTTGGTATTCCCATACATACCACACAATTCTTATGTATTTACATGTATAACACCTAAACATTTATATTTACTTGCATAACTCCCAAACCTTTAATATCACATGAAAAATATCACCATTACTTCATAGGCTTATGATTCCAGAGTATTATAAATGGAAATATGAATGTTAAGATGTTAGATATGTAAATAGAAAAGAATAATGCGGTATGAATGTGAATTTCCTTTTTTTTTACAAGATTGCTCAAAGTTATAAAATACATTTAAAAATAATTAATTTGTAGATCCTGTCATCTAGTTGAACTTGGTTAGAAATCAATATGAATCTGTGACTATAAATGCCTCCAAAATCCCTCAAGTGTGAGATGTTCATTTTCAAAGTCAAAATGAGCGAAACAATCCATCACTTTTCAAAGCATATTTTCCATCCTCAGCAAACCAAACGAGCCTTCCGTCTACTCATATTCCTTCTACTAATTCTTTAAAGGGGCATTTATATACATGCCATCCAATTTCCATGTATTTACATATCTGCCGCCTGAACTTTAGTTTTTAAATTTATGCACCACCCAAATCTTTTATATCATATAAAACTATCACTATTCTAACTTTAAGGAAAGTGAAATACACTTTTTCATGCATAGATATGGTGGTATACATGTAAAAATTGGAGTTAAGGTGTTAGATATGTAAATACATAAAAATTGAGTGCAATGCATGTAAATATTCCTTCTTCAAGTGTATCGGTTTCTACTGTGGGCGATTCTTTTACCTTAGGTATTGAAATTCGGAGTGCTAAAACAATAAGTTAATTCAAATTCTAGTTCTAACAAAATCGACTTCAGATAAGTTGGTATTTTTATTCAATTAAAAAAGGGGGAAAAATCACATTTGATTAAGCAAATACTTACATCAAGAGTCCTGATATAGTTTTGCAGCAATGTTTCAATTAGGGTCTGTCATGTGTACAAATATATTCACCTTAGTAAAAAAAAATTAATTTAATATGGACGTGCTTGACTATACACGTGACAGGCTTTGATTACAGTCTCGTGTAAAATTGCATAATGACTTCCCGATGCTATATTTTTCCTGGCCAAAAAATTCGGTAGCTTTGACTATTACACTAGGGAACAATATCAATGGCGCAAGTCCAAACCATCAGCCAAGCACTGCCTGCCACATTTTTTTACATTTATTTTGGGCTTGTATTCTAATTTTGATATTTATCTTTATTAAAATTTGATTAGTTTTCTGATGCATTTTATATATTTTTATTTCAGTGAGAATATTGGCGACTAAGAGAATTCTTTGACGCTCAGTTCTGAAATTGCTTCGTTAGTCCAGTTCATTACATATTTATGCAAAATTAAATAGCTGCTCAAACTAACTATTACAAGTTTTGCTTTTTATGAAATATTTGTGGTTCAAAATGTTATTTTGCATTTGTTCTCTCATGAGTAGAGGTGTAAATGAGCCGAGTTTAAGTGAGCCTAGAATTGACTCGTGTTTGACTCATTAAAAAATACTATTATTCGTGTTCGGCTCATTTATATATCGAGCTTAAAAAGGTTCTTCGTGTTCAGCTCGTTTGCTTGGTGAGCCGAATACAAGGTGTTCATGCCTGTTAACGGTAGGACGAGATTTAAAGTTTATTATTTATATTAAAATATTTATTTAAATAGAATTTAATACATTTTTATTCTATTTTTTTAATTATTAATTTGAATTGATTATAAATTTTTGTAGTGTTGTAGTTAATTAAATCATTTAAAACTAAGATAATAAAAAAAATCACCAATTAACCTGACGATTTTTCTTTTCTTTTCTTAAATTTATGTTATTCAAAATTTTCATATCCATATAAAAAAAAATCATTATTTTAATTAAAAAAAAGAAATGGTCTTTTTCATGCTTAGATAAAATGGAATTTATTTAAAATTTCAAGTTTAGTCGATAGATACATAAATGTATAGGAATTGAGTGATGAGTATCTAAATCTTTCAATAAAAAAAATAACAAAAAATAATTTGTTATATTTCAAATTGTTATGATAAGTGGGAATGTGATTGAGGAATTAGGAAAATGAGGAGAAAATATTACATCAGGACATAAGTAAAGTTACGTGCAGAGTTCAATGAAATCACGTCATATGGTGGTGATAAAAAAAATAAAATAACGCAGGAAAATATTTCTTCCGTGTTATTCAAGTATTATTGTGTTATTTATGTGTTATTTAAGTATTATTGATATATTATTGTGTTATTATAACACCAAAATATTTCCAGAATACAATAACACATGAATAACAAGGAATAACACGGGGGAATATTCATCGGTGTTATTGGGCCGATTATTTTTTTTTTATCACTTTCACGTGACATAATTTCATTATACCCTGCACATAATGGAATCCTGATGCAATATTTTTTCGAAAACGAGAGTGGAAAAATTATCATAATTATGAATAGAGTTTTTAAATTAGTCTGAATATGACGGGAAAAAAAAAATCTATATGGTCGGCCAAATTAGTGTTGTATTGCATTATAAATTCATGAATTATGAATATCCTTTCAAAAAAAATTAAAATTTATTATAAAATAATATTGTATTTGAACTTCAAGCCTTAATTTTTACATGATATATCAAATTTAATAAATCTAGATTTATAGTGAACGATGACTAAATAAATCTAACTCGCAATTGGAGTTACTAAATCTGGATTTAAATCGTAAAAATGACAGAACACGTGAAGAGAAAGATGAATCAAGTGAAGAGTGATACGAAACACGAGAAAATTTGATTAAAGAAGAGTCAAGTTTAATTTTTATTTTTTTGCTGTTTGGATTTAAGTTAAATCTTTGAATAAATTTTATTAATAGTGTGCTATCAAACACAGCCTTAATTTGAAATTCAACCAATTTTGTTGAATTTAAAACTTGCTGCTATAAAGTACCACCGGCCATTGCCTCCCGCCGCCAATCCCCCCGCTTCGCCGCCCACAGGCTGCAACCGGCCACCGCCACCACGACACCACTCATCGCCCCCTCAAACAAATAAATTTTTACAATAAATTATATAAATTTAATTTTACTTCAAACTACTAAAAAGAAAAAAAATGAAGTCACCTCTTGTTTTACAATAAATTAAATAATTTTAAAATATTTTAATTATAATACATTACTCATATTTTACATCATATTTATTTTATATTACATTGCAAAAGATTGATGATTTTTCTTTGTGGTGATTTTTTTCCTTCGGCTTTGAATTCCAAAATAGGGGGAGAGAACGCCGGCCGGAGGAGCGTCCGCCCGACTTCTTTCGGTGAGCTGCCTGTTTCCTATTTTTGTTTTTGTTTTAAAATCTATATTTTGATGTGATCCTATTAAAGAGAAAGAAAAGAAAATCTCGGGGGCAGGAAGTTTTCTCCCGTCGATCGTCACTAGAAGAAGATTTATTCTTGCTTTTCTGTCATTGTTTGAGGAGTTGCTGGTTAGGGTTACAGTTTTGAGATCATTTGCTTCCCGATGTATAGTTTCATGTTCTATATTTCGTTCAATATGATCTCTTGTGGTAACTTAGTATATTTTTTCTTAATCATGCATTGCAGATTATTATCACTTCGTTGGTGTTTTCTCTTTTGGTGAAGTAAGAGAGAAAAAACAAGGATTCAGTATGGTGAGTGCTGTTGAGCTGAACATTTTCATACGTATTTTTGTCAGCTGGTTTAGTTATGACTGAGATTATAGTGCTTTTCGTTCTCTTCTTTCTGTTTGCAAGGCCTGCTACATTCGGTAACATTAGCCTTGAAGAAACTAGAACAGAAAGTAGTTAAAAACATCAGTTTTAACACTGATCTATCTTTGTATTACCATTAGTTTGTTGCTCCAACATCGTTCAGCTTTGGTTCAGTGATCCTAAAGAGTGTCTCAAGAAACTCATCTCAAAGTTATTATTTATATTTACCTTTAGGCTTTAGGCATTGTATTTTTTTTATATGGAGATCATTGTGATGATTCAATTAGGAGAGTAGATGTTTTAGATTCAACTTATGTTAAGAAAGGCAGAGGTAGACCTAGGAAGATTTGGGCTTATTGTATAAAAAATGATCTTAATTTATTATAACTAAATGAAATTATGACACTAAATTGGACGCAATGGAGAAAAATGATTCATGTAGCCGACCCCACGTAATGGGGTTAAGGCTTTGTTTTTGTTGTTGTTGGAGATCATTGTGCCTTTGCAGGGTGTATAAAGATGGAAATTATGGATTCTTAAACCTTTATTTTCATTTGATGAACTGAATTTCTATGTTACGATTCTATGCTAACCTTTCTGAATATAATATCATCTTACTGTTTGTTTCAGTCTGGTAGGAAGGAAACGGCTTTAGATTTGGCTAAGTTTGTTGATAAGGGCGTCCAAGTCAAGTTAACTGGTGGAAGACAAGGTTTGTTATGGAGAGTTTTCTATGTATCTATTTTTGTTACATTTTTTCTGCTTATATATTGATTATTGTATTATTGTTTAAACATTACAAATTTTGTCCTTCTAATATAACCATATTTTTCTTTTCATTCTTATCCATTACCATCAAAGTAAGTGATGTTGTTAATAATTTTTGATAGAACCAAGATACAATATTTTTTCATTTAAACATTCATTTGTTTAAATAATATTGATTGTGCCCTGCCCTTGTAATCAAGCATTATTTTGAAAAAACAAATCGAGAATACCAAAAGAAGCTAAGTTGAGTGTCTTATAGGGTTTACATTCTTGCATGACATATTGGTGCTCTCTTGTTGTTCTAAAGTTCTGCAGTTATCTTTTAAAAAAGAGTGATCTAAACCAAAACATTGCTATTTACGAAACTTGGCATTTTTTTAAAAATTTTCAGCTATATATTGAAATTTACATTAATATCCTTACTCATATTTTTCATATTTATCAAAGTTTCAATGGTTTAATTTTGGCACATTGAAGTACATGGGTTTGGTAGTCCAAAAAAATGACCTGGGTACTTGTTTTGTAAATAGTAATATTTCGTGTGTTATGTATGCAATCGTCACTAATCTAAAATGAGTGTTCAATTTTTGGCGTAAAATATATATCCACTATAAATTATCGAACATAAATGTTCAAATTGCATCTTGTTCTCAATTGGTAAACAAATTCCGTCATCCTGACAAGCCATGGACATTTGGTGACGCATTGGAATAGTCACCAGTGTGCAATACTGAGATTTGGGACATTTACATACATATCACCAAATTCTTATATATTTACATTTCTAACACATAAAATTTACTTTTTAGATTTATAAAACCGAAATCTTTCATATCACATATAAAAATATCATCATCTTAACTTTTAAAATGTGAAATACACCTTTTCATGCATAGATAACCTGGTATGGTATGCGTGTAACAATCTCAATGTCGAATATGTAAGTACATTGGAATTAAGTAGTAAATCTTCCTTTAGATCTTAAGGAAACCACATTTAGCTTTTAACAAACATGAATTACTCACAATAAACACCTCTAGGTGCATTCTAAAGCATTGGATCACTAAATAATCATCAAAGGTCGTTTTAAACTAATATTATCTTTTGTAACTGCATCAATAACATGTTAAACTATTTCTACTAAATATTATTTGATGAGGAAAGTTTGATACATGCTATTACCCTATTACTTCATGCAAATATTATCTGATTTCGTTGAGATTTAACTCATATGAATAGGCTTGAGAAGCCCACGGTTTATGAGCTATCTATTACCATCTTTTCAGTTAGCGGAACTTTGAAGGGATATGATCAACTGTTAAATTTGGTTCTTGATGAAGCAATTGAGTCTCTTAGAGGTATTTTCTTCCGGTAGACATGTTTGTTTGATATTTTATTGAGCTCTTTATTTACTTCATTCATATAATCTGTTTATTTTTATTTATAATAATAATAAATTAATGAAGAATTGATGCTAGGATTGAAATAATCTTACTGCAACTTTTCCATCACTGAAACTTAGTTCACAAGAGTGTTCCTTCAAATCAAGCAAATTTTACCATGACTTGCTTTGTTGTAACTTGATCCTAAAATTGAGGCCCTATCATCATCGAATGTTATTTGCTTGTTAAATTGATTAAAATTTCCTGAATGAATACCTCAAAATTAAATGTCCCATAGTTCCCCGCAAGAGGATAAAGTTAATTGATCTTTCAATGATTTTTTCTTTTAGATGTAAGGAAATGAAAATTTCTTTCATTTTAATACATATTTTTATTAACTACTTTTATTTTGTCAGATCCTGATGATCCTTTGAAAACTACTGATCAAACTAGACGTCTTGGCCTGATAGTATGCTTCTTTCTTCCCTCTTTACATGTGTACAAACATGTGGTTTTTTCTGTTTTGCATGCATGAATTTTATGAATTTTATTGTTTAGTAACACATGTGTCGGCATTCAACAATGAATATAGTTCCTTATATCTTCTTCTAAAACTGCTTGTATTTTTTGTTTTCTTACAAATTTTAGCATATGAAAAAATTGCATTTACAACGAAGACATTAAACGGTCAAACTCAATTCTAGAAGCATAATGCAAGAAAGTTTAGAGTTTTGATATGTTAATGCAACTAAAGTCATGCAATGTATGCAAATTACTCGAGAGAATTTTGCATTCATAGGTCATGTACCATGAAATGCATAAAATTTATTGTCTTTTGATGTAACTAGCAAATACAAGGAATAGAAACCAAATGATAATGTATGATTGAATAACACTGAAGAAACCAAGGAGAAATTTGAACCCCACAAAATTAGTAAGTAATTGCAATTATTTTGCTTAAATTAGCAGCCCAATGGTGTATCAACTTTGGTCAAATGTAGGAACACTTGTGATGGGTTGGTGGTGGGTGGATCTTGATGTGAAGTCACAGTTTATGCTTAATGTTGCCTTATGGCTTTGTTAGACCTTTGGAAAGATGGAAGGCTATATTGGGCTAGGTTTTGGATGGATTTATTGGTTTACTTTGAGGTAAAGATTTTTTGGGATTATTTTGGTGGTGCTAAGGGATGAGGTGGGCATGGATGTGACTCGTTCAGGTTATGACCAGGGTGAGAAGGTATATTAGGGCTTAGGATTAATGTGGAGAAAAGTATGGAGTGGTGAAAGTTTTGAAATTTAAGTTAGGGTTTGTTTTGGAGGGAAACTTGAGGGTGTTGGATTTTGGGTTTGGCATTGAAAATTAAGATCTAGTTTTGTGGAGGGATGGAGAAAACTAAGAGCTTGAGGGAGACATGGTATACACAACGAAAGATAAAATCTAGGACTCATCAAACTCTGAGGGTTGGATATGCCACCAAGATTTTGTAAGGGATTTGCTCACATGCAAAATTCAATATTCATTCAAATATATGATAATGAGCACACGAGATTTTTTTTTTCGAGGTGAAACCAAGAAATTTACATCAATATGTTTGTGGAAATTTCAACAAATCTATAAAATTAAGGCGAATAGTTTCAATTGCAATTTAATTTGATTATCTTTGTTTGGATTGGTCAACCAAGGAGACTTGGAGGGAGTTTTGATTTTTTTTTCTCCATCTTTTTCCTTTCTTAAGTCGTGTATGGCCTGTCCATTCTTGTATGATAAGCGAAGTGTTTTTAAATTAATGCGCATGCTTGATTCTAAGGTGCAGGGTAGGATTTGACTAATTCATAAAATTTTTAATGTTGTGGATGATTTGGAATCATGTTGCAGTTTTTTTTTTATATATAATTTTTTTTTAATGCTTTGATAACGTGTTTTTGGTCTATCAACAAATATGCTAATAACATGGTGTGTAGAATAAATTAGGTCAAGAAAAGAAATTGCATCAGCTCGATTTTTTTTAGCAGATGCAAATTTTTGTTTTCATAAATATTGGAAAGCAGTAATATTTAAGGCTGAATGTAGATTCTCCTATAACTGATCTTTCCCCAACTGATTTACATTAAAAAAAAACAGGCGCTACTATTTTAAAGAGTCCATGTGAGGTGCACTTCTACAAGGAATCATTTGTTACAAATCACAACTCACATATTGGTGTAAGGCGTGGAAATTCAATGGAAGTGGAGTGTACGGATGTATTACATCCCCCTGTAAGCATGTATCCTGGTAATAATTTATCCACTATTATATAGGGACAAAATAGGGCCAACCAACCACAAGAGATCACTACCCTTCAAATCAGTCAGCAATGGTGCTAAGACGACAACAAATACGTAAAATCAACCCATACTTGATTAACAATGGTTGTTGAAAAACTGCAACAAGCCAAAGCCCCTTATAAATGACAATAAATATTGATCCTGCTACAAAACTGTAGATAATCAGTAGATAATCAGAAAAAAAATGCCACAAGCCTGTAGATTTCATAATAACGATGTTGATCTTGAGAATGCCCCTAACCTAATAGATCAATTTAATATTGGGAGATATACAATACATCTCTTTATCAAGGACATTTGCACACATGTCCAAATTACATAAATTGCAAAGTAAGATAAACCAGCTAATGAAGTCAACCAAACTTTGCTAATATAATTCTTTGATATGATGTTTTTGTTTAGAGCACACAAATTTTCATAAAATTTGCTCTGCTTGAAAAAATTCTTCTTCGATGAATCTAGCATTTAAAATTCATTTTAAAAAATCAAGACAAATTTTGCGCATCCTTTGAAATAATTCACAAGTCACTACAAATTGATCAATTATTCTAGTGAGCAAGATACTTTTATAATCCACCATCGACAACATGCACAATCTCATCATTTATAATAGCCTCATAATAAGTTGTATAATATTATGACTAAGGGTCTATTTGGGACAGCTTTTTGTCTGCTTTGAGTTTCAGACCACTATCATAATTTTGTTTGGGGAACTGCTTCTTATTATTTTTTAGAATTTTTTGTGAGGGGGAGGTGTTTTTTTTACAACCATCTTTTTAAAAGCTGCAGTCATCCTAAATAGACCCTAAGAAATGGATTTCGGTTCGCTTAGACGTGGAAAAAGAGAATAATAAGTAAAGTTGACATAAGATTGTTGAAATATGCTAGAATCATACACATTGAAAGATAAAACTAATGCAAAGGTGTTAGTGCTTAATGTACTTCATGATTTTAAAGGACCACGTTCTTCTCATATTTAATTTTTTAAATGTTCTCAACGATTTTTTTTTAGTTTAAACAGTTATTTTATCATTAGGTTTGAACTCAAAGTCCTAATGTTCATTAAAATTTATAAATGTTAATATGAAATTAATATTATGCATTGAACAAGTTATAATATTATTCAAGCTATTAGCAATAACCACTACAAATAATAATCAAACAATGAAATTGTATGAAACAAAATAAAAAATTAGTATATTTCATATGACAGAAAAATAAATGTTAATATATTGATGGTCTCTCATACAGAATATACATGTCTTATTAAAGTTTAAGGTGTTTTAATGAGTGATATGACTTTACTGTTGGGGTGTAGTGATCTTGAGCTCATCGTGGTTTGTCCTCTCGATGCTATTATTGCTCCAAATTCTCAGCTGCAATCTCCACTTTTATTTCCGTTGGCTACTGGACATGAGATGTTATGGTAATGTATTGCTGCTTCCACGATATTGGATTAGCAATAAATATCTGAAACTACCACTCATGAGAAATTGATATGGAAATTGGTATCCAAAAGTTTCTCTTATGATATGAGATGGAAAGGTCGGTACTTGACATCTTTTAAAAAAGTTTTGAATCAAATAATATTGTAGGCGTAAAAATGCTGATTGTCTTGAGATAATCTCCTTTGGTTCCCCCAATGCAAATCATATGATAATTACATTTGAGAAGTTTCCGAGGGAGGGGGAATAATGTTGGTGTACAGTCTTGGGTCCACACATGTCAGCGACGTTGCTCTTATATTCTCAATGGTGGCCTCATATTTATGTAGTGTATTTGAGAAATGTTTTGATCGTCTCGTTCGATTATATAACTTCTAAATATCTCTTAGAATAAAAAAAATTTATGCAAATAACATTTTGATCTTTCACGAGAAAAACAAGGGAATAAAAATGCGTCAATCGATATGTTTGATGAGTTTTGTAGTTGAATGCGCCGATCGGTTTACTTCTCGGATACACCACATGGAGATGAGGCAACAGTCGAGCATGTATGAGCTTTTCCCTTCCGACGTATGCTGACCTTGGACTATCCACTTATGTTGTTTCGGGAGTATTCACATACATTACTCTACCCCCTCCCTTAGCTACCAACCATATGATTTAGCAGACATGTTCATCCTAAGATTTGCAGTTGCGAGGACTCAAGAGAGTCATCCTAAGACAATCACCATTTACGCCTTCAACATGCTTTGGTCCAGGACTTTTTAAATAATGTTGGTTTCCAGTCCTACTTTACTCCATGAGGGACACTACCGATTGCCCATTGCCACATATGTTCCCTTGAGTAACAATTTTAGACGTTTATTGCTACTTTGATGTTGTATGAACAACTATACATGTCATACCATGTCCGACAGTTGATAACTACTAAAGTAGAGGATGTGCCTGAGGATTTTGAGCAACAAAAATATTATTTATGGGATGATCACGGTGTGCTCTAAACCACTAAACTTTAGCGGTGTAGTCATATCACTCATACGTCATAGACATTAGTAGGACATTTATTCTATATATGGTCTTCATTATATTTTTATTATTTATTTTTTCTGTCCTATGGCACATCAAAATTTTGTTTTGTTATATATTATTTCAACGTTTTTGTTATCATACATGTTGGTACTTTTTAATAACTTCGACAATATTATATCTCATTCAATCAATAGGATAAATTTCATGCTAATAGTAACAAATTATCATTGAACTTAAAAACATCATATATTTAAAAATTATAAAATTAGATATAATAATTATAATTTTGCTTTTTTTTATTTTTGGAAATGAATTTTTACTCTGTTAAATGTGGTCACTTTAAGCGCGACAATAAGCTGCATCAGGTTATTATTGTCGCTTAGAGCGGCGACAATGTCATTTAAAAAAGAAAAATAAATACTAATTGTGGAAGGTGGATCAGCCTCTTTTCCATGGTGGGTAGAAGTCGAACATCCAAGGAGGGGTGGATGGATTAATTGGAGACAATTTGGGATGCTCCTTGATTAGTTTTTATTATGTTCCTATTTATGCTTATTTTAGATTTTTCTCCTTTCCATATTTAGGCTAGATATATTTGGTAAGATTGTAAATTAGGAGAGATAGGTTTCCCTATATATATGTAGCCTTATGGTAATGAAAATTAAGTGAG